ATATTGTATGTTTAATCCCGTATTAAATAATGAATTAACAATGACATGGTCATATCGTCAAGATAATACAAATTTACATTTACAATATATTAATTCACAATATGCATTACATATATTTCTTGTACAACATTTAACTATCGAAGATTTATGTGAACAAATTAAAAATAAAACATCAAAATTTTATCGTGAAGATTTAGTTAAATTATTAGCTAAAGCAATTGCAACTGATCGTGATCTTGGTTTAGAAGTTAGTGATCAAAAATTAAAATTAAAATGTCCTATTGATCAAAGACGATTAAAAATACCAATACGAGCTATAACTTGTCAACATTTACAATGTTTTGATTTAAAAAATTATATTGGTATAAAAATTTTCTTTCTTTATTTTTTCCATAGAATAATCGTTTTGATTTAGAGAGCAAAAAAACATCATTTCTTTGCACTTAATAAAAAGCTCTTTAACCACTTGCCTAATTCATCATTATTTTCAAGTGTTAATATCCGTCCTTTTATTGATAAATAAAGTTCTACATGTCTTTACTATGTCACAGATAGAAGACTTTAATCTGCTGTGATTGTAAGATGAAGTGACAATTCTATTGTCTGGAATAGTCTTCGCATAGATCTCCTCTCTATAAATGGTTATAATTATGAAATTTTCAGATAATACTTGATTATAACAGACAACTCATTAGAGAAAATTTTTAAAGCACATAATCGGAATTACTATTTTTTCTTTTTTAACGAATTCTATCAATTCTCATGCTAAGAATAGGCAAAGATAATTTCATCAATCAAAATAAATTATAATCGTTTAACATGAAATTTTTATCGATGATAGTTGCAACACTGATCTCTTGAATGAGGTACAATGTGCAATTTCTATCGAACACGTAGACATGACTTATTTTCTGTTGAAAACGAATTTTTTTTTCTTTCATAGAAATATTAAATTCTTATACTCAAAAAAAAGATTGATGAAAAATCCCTGAAGGAAACTCTTACCTTGAACTCCTATGAAAAATTTTTTTTATTTGAAAAATTAACAAATGGTAAATCATTTGATGTAGTTTCTCATGCTGATTTCAAATATGTCCTTATTTTTTTTATTAGAATATTTCTATGACAAAGAAATCATGAAAAATCTTTAAAAAGCAAGGCATTTAAAAAATCTATATCTCAATTCAAAAGCATTGGTGTTAACTAAGTGTATGTCTCAGATATAGAAGAATATTCTTTGGAAATTTTGTCGATATCAGATTAGTAGAAAAAAGTGTAGCGATCAACTTTATTGAACATGTCTTTTCGGAAAACGTTTACAGGAGAAGGTCTCGAGATGATAACAGGCTTCAAAGAGTTCGTACTGACATTAAGATTTAACCGAGATATTGACTTTTCAATGAATTTTGCTCTGTATGTAATCAATTTTTCGATAAAATTCTATTGTCTAGTTTTGATCTAAAAACTTTGTCCAGATGAAGATCTCAGTGAGATTAGCTTATACATAAAGTTTCAGAAGTTTTCGATCGAGTATCTCTGAGATGTGCAACTTGCAAAATATATATGTTTTACACAGTAGTTTTGAATTCTTTCATTATTTGTATTTTTACTTTTTCTGTTAAAAAAACAAAACAACATTTACATTTTATTTCTTTTAGCTTTAAATGAAAAAGCTGGTAAATGGATCTGTCCCGTATGTAACAAATCCGCTTTATTTGATGATTTACAAATTGATTCTTATACTGAATCAATATTAAATTCAATGGCAAATGAAAATATAACAGAAATAATAATTGATAGTAATTTAAATTGGACACCTGTAACATCATCATCATCATCTCTAATTACTGAACAACAACATCAACAACAACAACAACAAATAACATCAAATATTGATGATATTATATTAGATGATGATCAAATTAATGAAAGACATCAAGAAATTGATTCAAAATTCAAAATTCAATTAATCCCATCATCAACAAATGGATCAGCTGATGTGATTCTTATTGATGATGATTAACTAAATTTTCTGTATTTGTGTTTTTTTTTGTATGATATCAAAGCAAAACGAAACGAAAAGAAGAAAAGAAAACAAAATTATTGTATATTTCTGTAATAAAGAAAGAGAAAAACGAATGATTTATCTTGTTTTCAGATAATGAATAATTTAACAGATGAACAACGTTATCTACAATTACAATCATTACCTATTAATGATCTACAAACATTATTAACATTTGCTGGACAATCACGAACTGGTAAACGACAAGAATTAGTTGATCGTTGTCATGCTTTAATGAAATCATCAATGGTAATAAGAGAAAAATGTGATGAATTACATAATAAACGTTTTGGACAAGGTGAAAAACCTACAATACCATATCCAAGAGATTCAACAAATACATTACGAACTACACATCATCATTTACATTCAAATCAACAACAAAATGTTGAAATACGTTTTGCGCCATTTACATTTAATGAAGATTTATGTGTTATATCACCACCACATGCAATTGCACCATCAAAACAATCAGCAAATGGAACACAATCATTGGCTAATTTTTATTTTTTATTAACAGCACAACAAGCATCAGGTTTGAAACAAAAACAATGAATTTATTAATAAATAAACTTGATTAAATAAGCAAACGATGATTAATAGAGATTACTATCTTATATAAATTAAAATGAAGAGTTGAAGATTATTAACTAACGAGGAAACATTTCCTGGTATCTGCCTCCTTTTGAATTGATATTTTGTTCTCGAACGTTCCTTGTTGAGTTTTGAATTGTTTGAATATTTTCCATGCATGTGAAAGTCATTCCAAATGGTTTTTAGTCAAAATTAAAAGGTAAGAGATTGTAAATCTTTTTGAGAGTGAACTTAATAATAAGTAAATTTTATTAGACCTTCCAACGTTTTTGTTTTCTTCGGTACCATTTCCATTAGGACACAAACTATTCGTCTTCATGATTTTCATATGAAACTGAGTATATACTATTCAGTAGTACAATAAATACTTTTATTTCATGAGAAAATCCTAGTGAAATTTCAAGATTTATCATCTGTGAACTTCTTAAAGTTTTAACGTGCGGAAAGTTTAGTATAATCTAGTTATTATTAAGTTCAGTTTGAAAAAGATTTACAATCTTCTAACTTTTCACTCGAACAATTCAAAACTCGGCAAGAAACATCCATGGACACAAATTCTTGAGAGACTTTCCATAGCTCATTAAGACATACTTATTAGCAAAATATTAGCTCAAAAGGATGCAAACACCTGAGAATGTTTTTCTTACGAGTAATGTAAACTCATTGAAAACAAACACTGATTATTAGTTCTTCTGTTCAAATCAAAAAGTTTTGAATAATTGATAGTAACACATCATTAGTTGATATACATCGGTCAGATACTCTTGATGATCAGCTTTGAATCGAAATGTATTATAGTAAATGAAAAAGATCAACTAATATTCATAGAAATTGTTCGTCACTTAATACTTATAACTTCATATCATATGAATCAGATTCACCGAGAACGCATTAATACATTCAAATATCTTCTATGAAATTCTAAAAAACTAAAGATCGATATTTTCCTTCATTTTTGAATTATGTTTCATGAATATTTTTATATTTTTTGTAAAATATAGATGTAGCAACATCAACATTCTATAGTACTGATCAATCGAAAATTGAATATCGAAAACAAATCTTACTAAGATTTACAACCATTGGTGGTGATTCAACACACAATGGTATCAATGCTCCCGATAAATTACCACCAAATCTTCATGTTATTGTTAATAGTCGAGCAGTTCTATTACCTCAACCAAAACCAACAGCAAAACCAAATTCAGATGTTATTCGACCAGGTCTTGGTTTTTTTTTGTTTTGTATATTTTCAAATATTCAATATTTTCTATGCTATTATTTTAATTTAGGTCGACCAATTGATATAACAGAATATTGTCGTTTATGTCCATTAATATCAAATTTAATTGAAATATCTTGGTTTACTCAAGATTTATCAGTTCCACCTCCAACATATGTTGCTGCTGTTTTTCTAACTGAACGTAAAACAGTTCCACAATTATTAGCACGTCTTTCTCGTCCATCAGCTATTCGACCATCAATTGAAACTCAACGTACAATAACACAAATTTTATCAGCTTCACAAACTCCACAAGGAATTGATAATGATCTTGAAGTTGCATCAACATCACTTCGTTTACCACTTGATTGTCCAGCTATGCGTATACGAATGCGATTACCTGGAAGAGCGGTAACATGTAAACATGTTCATTGTTTTGATTTAGAAGGTTATTTACGTATGAATGAAAAAAAACCAAGTAAAGTCTATATAAATAAAAAGTCGCTTTTTTGCTTTTTTTACTAATAATTTTTTTTTTTCGTTTTATCTAAGCTTGGCTTTGCCCTGTATGCAATAAACAAGCATTATATACAGATTTATTTGTTGATCAATTTTTTATTGATATTATTGGTAAATGTTCATCTGATGCTAAAGCTATTGAATATGAAACTAATGGACAATGGAAAGCTGTTGGAGAAGAAAAATTATCTCGACGAGCACAACGAGAAAGAGAAGCTTATAAAGCAGCACAAGCAGCAAAAAATACGAATGGAAAATCAACTGCAGATATTGATCATTCAGGTGATGATGATTCAAATGATGAACGAGCACTTACAAGTAAGTTAAATTAACAAAACAATAAATGAATTAAATAATATTTTCTCATTTTCTTTTATTTTTAATAGAATCGACTGAACGCCCGACTACAACCAATAATGCCCAAGATGACATTCCTATTATTGAGCTAGATGATGATTAATAATTGTTTTTCTTTTTCTTCTTTTTTTTTATTCTATTTCTCTCGTGCGCTCTGTGTGAATGTACAGTTGAAACAATAAATTATGCACACACATAAATACGTATAAAAAAAAGAAAAGAAAACAGAACGTCTATTTTGTCTTAATAGGCTACACGACGTAATTCCATAGAATTTGGATCGTTTGAAGGTTTATTTTGTATTCGTAAATTTTTACGGGATTTCGAGTAACATATATATATACCAGTAACAATAACAAGTAATCCAATAGCTGCTAAACCACCAGCAATACTACCGACAATTATCCACGTAGGATTAGGTGGTGCTATGAAAGATAAGAATAGATTGAATAAACGATTATATTATAGAAGATTCTCACGTGTAGGACTTGTATAGTCTGTTGTTGGAGTAGCTGTTGTTGATGTCAATCCGACTGTAGGTAACGATTGCTCTTCTGTACATGAAATAATCGATGTTTCAGTATTCATCATATTTGTGAAAATCATTTAATATTATTTGCTTACCAGCATCCTTAAAAAAGAATTCATATCTTAGAAAAATTCAACAGGATTAGATTTCACCTTTACATCATGATAGATCATTATTTTAGGTTCATTCGGAGTCAAACTTTTAATTATAAAAGAGTCTTATAATAAAAATTGCCTTGCGAAATCTTTAATCATAGCATTATCATAATGGTAAACAGAATGTTTCGGATAAAACTTGACAGTTTTTGAATCAGCATTGTTTATAAACATTCTAACTAGTCTTTACTAACAGATCCGTCGAAAGATTGTTCTTTATCAATATTAATTTCTCTGTTTTTCCAAAGCAAAAATCAGTTACAAACATTATTCTTAGTTACACCGTTAAAATAAACATCAAATTTAAAAAACTTATTCTTTTAGAATAAAACACATCATTAATTTCGATAACCTTATTTCATGAAAAACAAACTTTCTATATAGTTCTTTTCTATAACAAAAGCTCCTTTTTTTTTTGGTTACACCTACAATGTCCAAGGCTTATTAGTCAACTAAGAGTTTCTTTTTTTTAATGTACTCACAATTGCATTTTGACCTTGTGCATATATAATGATAAATCCCACTAAAACAAATGGTATTATAAATAAATAATTGAAGTAATATATTCAATTTAAACGTATACAAATTAGGATCCATTGTAAATAGAAGATTTTCATTGATTCGGCTACCTGATAAATATTTTCATACAACAAATAACCTACGTTTGCTTTCTATGTGAGCAGCATGATGATAAAAGATAACAGAAAAAAAAATGTGTTGCATAGCGACAGATATGATAATAGTTTGTCAAAGCAAACACAAACATCTATCTCCACTTTGAAATATTAATATTAGCTGATACTTTGGATGATTCTTTTTTTTTTGTATTTAAACATATTATAATCCTAAACTGTTGATATTATCATTTTCGAGATTTATCAATGATTTTATTGTGTGTTATTTATATCAATCATTTTAATCAATAAATCATTTGGAAAAATTCTATTTACTGTGAAAACTAGAGTGTTATCAAAGTAGTCTTGTATAAAAATATATTCTACATTTTCTTTTCTGGACTTAAATACTATGTAGCATCTTTTTATAAAAAAAAGAAGAGATAACTATTTTGGAACAACAGAATATAAAAATATTCGTTTACCTTCAACATTTTTTATCTTAATTTTATTATGGTCCGATGTAAAACAAATACTGACATCTACCACTTTTCAGTATATGATCACCTTTAAACGATAGAAAAATTTAAAAAAATAAACATTATTTCTTCAGATTTTTCATGTTTTCGAAAAAAAAAAACGATTGCAATTGATATTACTATTGAATGATTACTTTGCTACTATTATAGGTATTTTTTCGAGTAAAAAAATAACGCTTTATATAAAAAACTTCTTAAATAGTTTACTTATAACTATTTAACCAGGTATTTCAAGTGAACTTTAGTACTTACTAATGAAATCGCAATCATGGTTTTCTACATAGGATGCTTTCTTCGATCTTGTAATGAAATGACGCTGATGTATGATATAATCAAAATGTTGTTTTTTTTATCTTCGTTAACCATCTCCATCAGAATTAATTTTAATATAAATATGTAATAATCTGTGCACCTAATAATTTCCATTTTAGAAGGGACTTCTAGTTCATATGTTGGATATATCAGAGAAACATATACTCATTTTGTAGTGATTTACAATTGGCTATAAAGTATCTTACGTCTTTTTTGTTGTATTGGTTTAGCTTATTCGTCTGAATTGAAAGCTTTTATTAAGAGAAAACAAAGATTTGTTCTTTTTACTACACGTTTCTCGACGAGTTTCCGTTGATTCCTATTAACTGTATCTAAAGTATCTCTTGTTTCAAAAATCATACATTTTTGTTAAATAATCGATTATATAAATAGATATAACAATAATCTATCAATCTATCAATGATATTATCAGACAAGAGTTTCATAATTGCATGATGATTTATAAGATAACAGTTAACTAGAAATCAGATAATATCATTGTTTATCAAACTTTTTCAATAAACCATAAATTAGTAGGCATAGATTTCAAGTCTTTCAAATTATTAACTCCTATGTAAAAAAAAGAAACAACAAAAGTCTAAACTAAAGAAAACAAAAACCTCGAAAGTTTAATAAATTTGATTGCATTGAAAATTATTTGTTTTTAGTTGTAAGATCACGTCAATATTCGCTAGAATAATTGAGTAATCTATGTCATATAATGACAATTGCCAGATCATATAAGTATCATTATTATTATTATTATTATTATTATTATTATTATATATTAAATGAAATATTTTGTTCATGACTTTTGAAGAATCTATTACAATTAATAAGCTTTGATAAATGACAGTTATTTCTTATAAGACATTCTTCATCTAGATACAGAAACATATCTTTCATCAACATGTGTGAAAGCCATTAATATCAACATTCAGCAAACATACGACACCATCGAGATCAATGGATATAATTCGATCATGATCGATGATTACATGTAAATCACATTGATGATAAAATCTTTGCCCTATTCATAGGATTGCTGTTCTTTTTTTTTTTGTTCTTGTCATTTTCTTGTTTAAGAAAAGGAAACACGTAATATGTCTTGTCCTTGGCACCTTTTCAACTTGAACATTGTATTAGCTGGTAGACAAAAAGAAAAAGAAGGGAACAAAAGTTGTTCATCTTTTTTTTCCTTTCTTTTTCATCTTTTTTTTTTAGCTTATAGTTCGATCGCAGATAAAAATTTGTCTTGCTGCTCTTATTGCTTGACAAAGCAATTCCGTTTTTTCTTTCTCTTGCTTTCTTACAGACGCTCATGTTCAGCCACTCCTTAAACTAAATGACTATTCTCTCCCTCTCTCTCACTTGCATACACAGGCATACTCTCTTCTCTTTCATCGTATCCATGTAGAGGAGAAATATAGACACATAGAGAAAAAAAAAACGACGACGAAGAAAAAAAAAAAAGTTCATTAAATAAGACTAAGCACAGAAATAACGACAAGAATTGCTGTTGTATTTCTTTCATCTTTATTTTGACTCATACAGAAGATGACTTCACACAAATCTTCCTATCAAGTTGTTGCTGAAGCTGAAACATTACTTATTTATGGAATATTTCTATTTTTAACTGGTTTAGTACAAATTGGAGTAGCTATTGGTCATCGATTTATTATTGAAAAACATAATAACCATAATGATAATATAAATTTTGCTCATTTTTTTCCGACATCATTTCCTATGGCTGAGATTCATATTTGGTACGTTTATCCATCCGCTTCATTGGTAAGTTTTCTTTTGTAACAAATAAAAAAAAAAGACGTGATAATCAATGAATCGATCTTCATACAAAGAGCATATCAAAATGTCATATGTGACAATAGTTGAATAATATTGAACATAAATCCTCTTTATCCTTTTCGTTTTATATCAAATCAAATGATTTCTTTCTTTTTTAAATAAAGCAAACTGAACTTTTTTTTTTCTTTCTAATCGATTAAATTGATTTTTAATATCAAGAATAAAATGTTTATTTTCATTATCCTATTCAAATATTCATAGAGAATGGAACTATATTTACTCTATTTTAATATTAACGGTAACAATTTCCTTTTTTTTTTTTTGTTTCTTGATGGAGATCAAAAACAAGAAGTTTTCAATACAATAGATTAATATATGATATATACATTATAAAATTTATTCTCACTTGTTCAGATGTTATTTTCTTTGAATTAAATAAATAATGTACATTTTTCTTTCTCATATCTCATTCAAATTTTCATTTATTTAAATATTTAATAAATACTTTTTTTTGTTAGACAATGATTCCATGTCTTTGTTGTATCATTTTTGCTATATGCAAACGACGTACTATGGTAAAATTAATTAGAAAAAAAAAGTTTTTTTTTTTTTTAAAGATCATATTATATTTAGGCTACTTTAATTTGTATGTCTTCTTTTATAAGTTTTATTTCATCGTCAGTTTATATTGGTCTTCTTATTATTCATACACTTGAATATTGGCAAACAATTGAATCTCATCGTTTGCAATCTCTTCTATCAACTACGATATCAACATCTACGTCAACAATGTAAATTTTTTCTCCTATTTACTCAGGATTTTTCTTTATTGTCTTCAATTATTATATAGACGCCTTTTTGTGTCATTTGATGAACCAGCAAGTTTTGCTAATTTAGCACTACTTATCACATTTACATTAGCACTTGTTCAAGCATTGTTATCAATGATTGGTGCAGTTATATCTTGTCTTTGGTCACCATGTTGTATTAATTCATCACGAAATTATACACCAATAGCAACTAATTCCCATTATGCTCAAACAACATCACATCGATTCGAAGTATATTTTAATAATATAATTCTTTTTTATTTTTTGTCTTATGTCTCTTTATTTAGAATCCTCAATTATCAACACTACGAAGTGTAAAACGCCAGCAGCATCAAGAAACTCATCAATTTCTCACAAGAAATGAATCTCAAGATCCAGTGATAAATGGTTTTCTTCATAAAAATCTACCTACTCGTAATAACTATGATAATGTTTAAATGCATTGTATATTTGTCCTTGTAAATATATATTGTCATTGCTATTTTATCCGTCTACATATTTTTTTTTTCTTAAGGGAAAAAAAAGAGCATTTATTTGTCATTCAGTACAATCGGAGCAGTAATAAAATTGTTCACAAAGTGTTTTTTCGATCAAATAAGTACCAGTGAATATTGAATTCACGATTACAAGGAATAGCAAAAAAACAAAAAAGAAACAAATTTTTATTATTATTTTCTTTGTTATTTAAAAAAGTGTGCGACATAAATTTTTCTTTCATTAAGTGTATTTATGCTAAGATAATTTTCTTTTATTTTCATGAAATAATTTATAAATTAAACAAAGAAAAAGCACTTACGCATAAATAAATAATATTCAATTTTTTAAATGAAATGTTCTATTTTTGTATAAAAATAGAAAACATAACAAATACTATTTGATTATTCTATATTAATAATTCACAAAAATTACTATAACATTTATTTTTATCTATAAAAAGAAATAATGTTAATTTTTTGAATAAACTATATATTTGTTCAACTAAATTTTGTATGCCAAAGACAATTAAACATTCATTTATATGCTTTTCTTTTTTTTACTAGACGAAGATATTCATGAATCGTTGAGCCATGAAATTACATATTCTTTTGGTCAAGACCTGGATCAAACTATTTCTGTTAGATCAAGTGGATGGGATTAAGTAACCTAGTTATTAATGAATCGAAATAAGCATGAGAAGTTTATCGACTTGGAAAATGTATTTTATAATATTTACTGAAGGAACTGAGTTAATTTATAGACTTGATTAATATACGATATTAAAGTCTAAACTCACATGATAATAAAAAATGTGTCAATGTCATATTTGTGCGGATTCAAAAAGATGTTAATTGAATCTACAAAAATACTCTAATCTGTATATTATATATCAAAAGAAAAAACAAACTTAAATTTCAATCAGAAAAAAAATTCAGTTGATTTTTCTATAGAATTTTTATCATTTATTTTATTATGTTTTCCAATAATTGCATGCCTATATAGTTTTAATATCTAAATCTGGTTGACTCTTTTCTATTTC